CATAATACTTTTCCGAATTTCACCCTAAGATTCCATGGAATTCCACCAAAAAATTCAATGGAATTCTTGTACAAAAATTCCTCGGAATTACTGTAAAAAATTACATGTTTCTTGGAATTCCACTAAAATTTTATGTAATTCCACAGAAATTACTCAGAATTTCACTAAATTTTAATTCAATTTTTCGGAATTCCGCCGAAATTTCTCGTTTAATTCCAAGGGAATTCTTCGGATTCCATGTAATTTCACTGGAATTCTACAATAAGAATTCAAGGAATTCCATGTATGTAATTCGACGGAAATTCCTTGGAATTTTACTCGACATTTCATCAAAATTTTAAGTCGACACAAAGTGAAATTATATATAATTTGATAGAAATCAAACTTTACTGAAACTTCTCAAAACTTCACCACTGAAATATCCTAGAATTCCACAAAATTTTCATAAAATTTTTTGGAATATCACTGACATTTCCTGTAAACTAAAATTTTATGAGAATTTTTTGAAATTGCACTGAAATTCCACGTTATTAGTGGAAAATTTCCCGAAATTCCAATGAAACTTCAATTTTTTTTTCAAAATTTCATTTATTTCCATAAGAATTTTTCGGAATTTAACTGAAATTCTCTTTCAATAGTCAGAAATTTCTGGGAATATTAATGAAACTTCAAGTAATTTCTTGAAAATTCACCGAAATTCCTCCGAAATATATTGAAAGTTCATATCATTACCTGGGAATTTTTCCAAATTTCACGGAAATTCCAAGTCTTTAGCCGGAAATTCCTCGAAATTCCACATGGGAAATTTTCTCCAATTTTACTGAAATTCAGTAATTCGAAGGGAATTTTTCGGAACTTCAATTTTACTAAAATGCCATGTTTTTAACTGGGAATTTCTTGGAATAAAAATAAAACTTCATGTAATTACATTAGGATTTTTAGGAATTTCACTGGAATTCCTTATGAAACGATAAGGTTGTTTAAAATTCCACCTAAACTTCATGTAATTCCGTGACAATTCGTTGGAATTCCATGCAATTGCATCGGAGCTCCATATAATTCGACGAAAATTCCTCGGAAATCATGATATTTTTTGACACTTTTTTAAAATTCTTTATATAATTTAACGAGCACTGAAATTTCATGTTGGGAATTTCGATGTAATTCCATGTAATTGTTTAAAATTCCTCCATGCAACTCAGGATTTCATGTACCTAATTCGATAGACATTCCACTGAAATTTCATGTAATTCAAGAGGAACTAAAATTTAATGTGAATTCTATGGAAACTCCGCACAAATTTCACATGTCACATTTCACACCAGAATTCTTGAAATTTTTTTTTCTTCGAAATTACAATATGTATAAGATTTCATAATACTTTTCCGAATTTCATCATAAGATTCTATGGAATTTCACCATAAAATTTAATGGAATTCTTGCACAAAAATTCCTTGGAATTTCACTATGAGATTTCATGAAATTCTCCGGAATTCCATTAAAATTTCAAGTTATTCCATGGGAATTCCGTGAAAATTTTAGTTAATTTCATATAAATTCCTTAGAATTTCACCAGAAGATTTTATGGAATTCCTCGAAATTCTATTCAAATGGTAAATTTGAATGGAAAAACGGAAATTCCTAAAAATTTTACTATAAGAATTCATAATATTTTTCCAAATTTCACCATAAGATTTCATGCAACTCCACAATAACATTCAATTCTTGAAAAAAAAATTCCTCGGAATTACACAATGAAATTCTTCGGAATTCCACTAAAATTTCAAGTTATTCCATAGAAATTTCAGGAAATTTTAAGTAATTCCATAGAAATTCCTTAACATTTCACCAGAAGATTTTATGGAATTCTTAGACAAAATTTTTTCGGAATTACAGTATAGGATTTCATGAAATTCTTCGGAATTCCACTAAAATTTCAATTTCCTTAAAATTTTACTGAAATTCCCCAAAATTTCACCACTGAAAAATCCTGGAATTCCACAAAATTTTCATAAAATTCTTCAGAATTTCATTGACATTTCATGTATTTTCTTAAAAATTCCTCGGAATTCACTAAAATTTTATGAGAATATTTTGAAATTCCACGTTCATAGCCGAAGATATCTCGAAAGTCCAATGAAACTTCAAGGAATTTTTCAAAATTTCATTTATTTTCGTAAGAATGTTTCGGAATTTCACTGAAATTTTCTTTTAATAATCAGGAATTTCTGGGAATATTAATGAAACTTCAAGTAATTTCTTGAAAATTCATCCTAATTGAAATTTCATGTCATTACATAGGAATTTTTCGGAATATCACCAAAATTCCATGTTTTTAGCCGGAAATTCCTCGGAATTCCTGGAATTTCACTAAAATTCGGTAAGAACCGAAATTTCATGTTGGGAATTTCGGTGTAATTTCATATAATTGTTTAGAATTTGTCCATGCCATTCATTTAGGATTTCGTATAATTCGATAGGAATTTCACTGAAATTTCATGTAATTCGAGAGGAACTAAAATTCAATATGAATTCTATAGAAACTCCGCAAGAATTTCACTAAATTATGGAATTCTGAGAGACTTTCACAGATTTTTGGGGATTCTAAAGGGTTTTTGGGAATTTCAAAGGAAATATTTTTTAAGAATGTTAATGATTTTATGAGATTTTGCAGGATTTTTTTGGTTTTAATGAAATTTTGTTAGATTTTGTAGGATTTTATGCAATTTCAAGGGATTTTGTGGGATTTTGTTAAATTATTAAGGATTTCAAAGATTTTTAGGGATTTTGACTAGATCTTATTAGATTTTCTGGGATTTTGACCAACTTGTACACGGATTTTGACCAGTTAACCACCCCTCGGTCGTTAAGTTCTTGAGGTATTTTGGTTATTTGTCTTTGAACTCCCTGTATCTGTTCTAGGTTTTTCACATAATATGGATTCCAAATCATTTCTTTTGAAAGTTTTTTGAAGAAAGGTAGATCATTGTGTTAGCCTTTTCAGACATCTGTGCGCTGTGTGTTTCCCATTTCAAGTCAGAAGTGATAGAAGATATCGACTACTCCTGAACCCTGAACATATTCTAAATCTTAAATTTTATTTATTTTTTTAAATTTTTTGGAAGAAACCAATTCGTTTTATAACAAACATTGGCCAAAGAAACTCTTGTAGACCTTATTTCCGGTCACAGAATCTCCTGTCATTATGCTCTGTGTTTGTCCTTGAGACGGCCTCACTGATTTATAAAAACAGACTGAGCATCCAGATTCAGGGTGCAACTACTCCTTACAGTACTCAGATTTAACTGATCTGCCTCTGCCGATTCCAACAAAAGAACTGACCAAAAAGTCACTTATTTATAATGGTAGATTTTTTTTTAACAATCTACTAATTCACGTTAAATCTGCTAACAGTGTAAAATGCTTTAGACGGCTACTTGAGAGTATTCTATTAACTAAAGCATATTATACCCTAGAAGATTTTCTTACTACAGACAACTTTATGTGGTGCTTTTTCAATGTCTATATTTTTTTTTGTGTGTTGTGTATTTTTGTATTTGTTCTTTTATCCTTTCAGTTTTAATGATTTTTGCCTTTTGGTTTTAATGTTTTGTATTTTTTATTGGTTTTATTTGATTTGATAGTGTCTTCGTCTTCCAAGTCTCTTTATTTGGTTACTAGTGTCATTCGTGTTTGTTCAAAAAATTAGTTCAGTTTTGGGTTATTTTGACCAATATGCACCATATTGACCAGAAAAAGTACATTTAGCAATTCGCATCATTTAAGAGCATTCTCAGCATAATCAGCAGATGCAGATGCATTTTTGGTTTCGGGTCCTTGATAGAGATCACTTGAGTAAACAACAAAGAGCAAAGGTCCTAGGACTGGTCCTTGAAGGACACCGCTATCTACCTTGTGTTCTTGTGAAAGTATGGAAGCCAGACATACTTGAAGAGATCGCCCTGTAAAAAATACTTATCCGATCACCCTGAGAAGCCTTCCTCTAAATTCGGAATGGTCCATTTCATATGTGAGAAAATGTATTGATATCTATTCTTATCAAATGCTTTGTCATCTGCAAGTGTCCACTCGTTAAGTCTAGTTAAGAGATTTGCAAATGTTGATTTCTTTGGCAGAAAACTATGTTATTCTTCAGGTATACTTTTTGTCTTGCTTTTGCTATCATTTTTTCCATGCATTTACATGTTACATGTTTTTTTTTGTAAATTTGTGTAATCACTGGTTTCTTATAGCTAGTGGGGAAATTTCCTGTTCTGATAATATTGTCAAATAAGTCGGATGACTTAGAAGGAGAAACTAGATAGTTTCTCCTTCAATATTTGCACATAGTTTTCAAGAAATATTGATAGAATCTTATCATCCTGGACTAGAATTTGTTTATAGTGATTTGATTGTATTTTCCGCTTTATCTGATGTAAGAAATATATTATTGTCTATTGGAGTATGTTTCTGTTGGTAGTTCTGGCATAGCTGGGTTTGTGTCTAGCTTCGTAAACGCGCTTTTGAACTGTTCAGTAAACTATTCTACGATGTCCAGACCAGATTCAAGTGGTTGTCCAGTTATTTTCTTGATTAAGCCAAAGTTGTTATACTTGGAGTTCAATGTGCGATTGATAGATGGAAAAAATTATTTGTTGTTGGAAATTATATAATTAAGTCATATCACCCCTTTCAGGTTTCAAGTCGATAACTTTTTGCCATTGAAAATGGGAAGTTGAATTTTGCGTGAAAACTCATCTCCCTTAGTAAAATTTTCTGTTTGGGAAATAATAGGGGTTGGAAGTTTTGAAATTGACACCCTGTATGTAATTATCAAAAAACTGCAAGGTAATTACAAGCCTGGTAGACGCTAAATCTTTCCCTGCCTAACAAGAAAATAGAATTCCTTCGAGTGATAGATGTTTTCAATAATTAATTGTTTAGTGTCAAATTGTTAAACTGTATTTTTGATCTGTATATTAACATTAATCGTTTTTCAGGTGCTCCCCATTGTCTTGGGAGTAGGAATAGTAGTTGTATCTCTTGTAATCTACAAATTTTACATTGCAAAGGACGCATCTTCTAAAGGTAAGCCTTATTTTTAACCATAAGCATTGGTATATAAGTACCTCGATAAGTACATTATTGTGAAACCATACAAAATAAACTTTCTGTAAAATTGATTGACGACAACACCAAGACAATGTTCCTTTGTTTATAGGAAAAAGTTCAAAAGCCAAGAAAGTATTACTAGAAGACCCCCAAGCCAAATATGCTCTGCCACTTATAGAGAAAACCATCATCAGTCATGATACAAGAAACTTCAGATTTGCTTTACCATCTAAGGAGCATGTACTTGGTAAAAATAACCAAATATGACCTAAAAATTATTATTTATTAAAATATATTTTGTAAGGTTTACCTGTTGGCCAACACATACATTTATCGGCTCGAATCGAAGGCGACTTAGTAATAAGATCGTATACCCCAGTATCATCAGACGACGATAGAGGTTATGTCGATTTGGTTATTAAAGTATACTTCAAAAATGTTCATCCCAAATTTCCCAAAGGTGGAATGTTGACGCAATATCTTGAAAATATGAAAATCGGCGATACTATTGATGTAAGAGGACCATCTGGTAGGCTTCAGTATATCAGTCCGGGAACATTCGCTATTAAAAAGATGCGTAAAGACCCTGCGACTATTATTAAAGCTAAGAAAGTTAATCTTATTGCCGGTGGGGTAGGAATTACCCCATGTCTTCAACTACTCAGACAAATCGCTAAAGACTCTAAAGACACCACACAAGTAGCTACATTATTTGCCAATCAAACTGAAAAAGATATTCTACTCAGAGAGGAACTTGAAAAAGTTAGTAATACAAATAATTTCAAATTGTGGTATACTTTGGATAAAGCTGAACCAGGTAAGGAATACTTTTTTTATCTTACATAGTAGATTTAATTTTATTATAATTTAGGTTGGAAATACAGCACAGGATTTATCGACGAAAATCTGCTCAGGGATAATCTATTTCCAGCTTCTCCTGATACTATAACTTTGATGTGTGGCCCACCACCAATGATTAATTATGCCTGTATGCCTAATTTGGAAAAATTGGGTCATAGTAAAGACCTTTTGTTTGCTTATTAAAAATTTTCCACAACGCATTTTTCGAATAGGTACCTCTTTTTCATCTTTGAAGCGAAAAAATATTATTTCCTTTCTCTACTCTTCAGACGCTAAATAAATACATAAATGTACAGTAAACTCTGAATGTAATCAACTTAAAAAATTAACTAAAGGGGGTTCCATATTTATTTTATTAGAACTGGTATGAAATAAATTCATGGGTCTTTACAGATAATTTTTTTACTAGGAAAAATGTTTGTTTTAGCTCAAAGTTTATCATGTTATAGGTACTTTTTCTTTTAGTAATACATGTTTTTATATCATTTTTATTATGTTAATGTTCAAACTGAATCAAAATACAACTAAATTGAGAAAATAGAATTAGTGTTGTTTGTTAAACATACAGAATAATAATTATAAAAAACGATTTTGTCTTGTTCTTGCATTTTTTGCTCTCAAATCATTGTCCTTTTTGCCTTTATTGAAATTACAAGAAGACCTCGGAAGAGAAGAGACGTCCTATTAATATAAGGTTGAAGCGGTGGATTGGGCAATACGACGTCTTGAGTCCTAGGCAAAAGTATCAATGTGGAGCTTTATTCAAAAAACAAATAATAGTAGGGTACTTGCATGGAAAATTATATTGATTATTGTTTATTGCAAGCTGTAGGAAATCGAAAAAAAATCGTTACTTTTTTTTCATTTCGCCCAAATATGATTATTTCGGTAGTTATACAAATATTAAGTTTTGTATATATAGATATACTGAGCATGTGCGACGTCATAAAGTATTATACCTGATGACGTCATAGGCATATTTCATAGCGTTGTATCTCCGTCAATTTTTGACTAAGAAGAAAAAGAAAAAACACGTGTTGACTTATTTTTCATGGACTATCGAAATCAGCAAGAAAAAAATTTGATGCAAGGGGCCTATATTTCGGCAGTTATACAAATATTAAGTTTTGTATATATAGATATACTGAGCATGTGCAACGTCACAGACGTACTTTTATCTGGAATGTGACGTCAGTACTCAAGTGATACTCATGATAGTGCAGTTCACATTCGTGTCCACACGCCATTTCACGTCACGGTTTTGAGACTAGTACGAAGGCATAAACGCCGCGTAACAAACTATCACGTTGAAAATTAGTACATGACCACATGCAATAAATGACAGTTTTTGCCCACACACATACGATTTTTCCTTTGAAACTGATATGCCACGCGTAATCATATACTAAATCATTTAATAGTTATTATCCTAACAAAGTGCGTAAAGTTATACTTTCCCGCACGCGAACTGCCAATGCGAAGCGGAGTTCAAGCAAGCAGTTAATTGCGGGAAAGTTACTATCCGCAAGAGTTAGGATCAAGATTTTTTCTACAAGCAGTACAAGCACACACTTTGTATATTTTTTTTAAATTTATTTAAAATAAAAATCGAAATTTTTTTCATTTAAAATTAATGTTGATGCTAAAAGTACAGTTCGTTTCATCAACTTTGATAACATTTTAATCAGATAACCATAGCAACCCTATAACCACGCGACTTAAGCAGGTGAGTTTTTTATTGCTTTTAGTAAATTCTATACAGGTGTTCCAGGTATGCCGTGCGGGAAAAAGATAGTAAGTGGAACATGACGCTTTTTTTGCCACGCCGTTCTTTCGCGCGTGCAAACCGCTACATCCCAACACGCCACAATAAATCGCGCGAAATAACGTGTGTGTATGCCGACCTATACCTAACTAGTACAGGTGTTAGGTGTTCGTTTTGCAAGCTGGGTATCTCATTGTCCTTGTTCATTGCCCGTGGTCTGATAAGAATAAAAGTATGGTTGATATTCAACTTGACTTTGACATAGCTTGACAAGTGACATTCAAAAGTTGTTTTGTTTCCATATACATGTATAATACCACAAGAGAATAGTTATTTACCTAACAAGTGCGGAAAGTGGTACTTTTCCGCACGAGACGGCAGTTGCACGAGGGTGGCCGTCGAGGGTGGAAAAGACATTTTCCGCAAGAGTTAGGTACAATATTTTTCCTACGAGTGCTTTTGTCCATCTTATTTATCAAAAAAAATGTTCCAATACGCAAAGATTTTATAATGATTGTACAAAGTAGCACATAATATAAAATAATATACAGTGTGACCAAAATTCGAGTCTCTATATGGGGATCTCGCCTATTATGAGAGATACAGGGTGGCTCAAATTAGGAAAGTTTTAGGAAATTTATTGCTCATTTATATCCTGTTGTTAAATTTGCTCCAAAGTTTTCTGTTTACTAGAAATCCGAGAAAAACTGAAAATAGCCAATTTTGTTTTTTTGTCAATAATTCATAAATCGTTAACTTTAGACTTTTCTCACTTTAACATTACTGAGACACTTTTTTGAGACAGATATTTTCGTGATTTGAAAACATTCCAATCGTCTTTTGTTTTCGAGTTATTAACCAAAATTTTCTTATTTCTTATGGCGGCCATCTTAGAATTCAACAAAATAATATTCTGCGAAAAAAATCCTTTAAAATGATGTATTACAAGCTATGAAAAAGTTTTGCAAGTCCTTCAAAATACAGTTGGAATCGATTTTTTGCTAAATTTGGCAACACTGCTCATAATTAATAGAATAAAAGCAAATAAGTAATAAGTAAAGGCTGATATTGACATTATGTTGGCAATACAATGTAAAATTGTTAATGCTTTCAATTTTTTTATGTAGAAAAGGCTTGTGTTGCCAACATTGTTACTAAATTTTTGACTTGGGGAATTATTTAAAAAAAAAACAGATTTTAGGATTTAATATTAGGATCTGTATTTTTGAAGTCTTCTGGCAATTTTATTCAATAAAGAGAAAAGAAGTAAGGCGAAATGAAGTAAGGGATAGTGAAGTGAAAAAAAAAAAACAATATGTAAATTTAATACTAAAATCGGTATGTATGTGAAATCAATCTTTGAGCTAAAATCATGTTTATGTTGTTTACATTACGAAAAAAAAAAAATGTGGATTACCTTACCTACTTGTTTTTTCTTTATCCAGTAAAATTGCTAGAAGACTTTAAAAATACCGATTCTAGGTATTAAATCATACTTATTTGGGAGCATTATTGCCAAATTTAGCAAAATATCAGTTCCAACTGTAATTTTGAATGTTTTGTAATACATCATCTTAAAGGATTTTTTTCGCATAATATTATTTTGTTGAAATCTAAGATGCCGCCATAAGAAATAAGAAAATTTTGGTTAATAACTCGAAAGCAAAAGACGATCGGAATGTTTTCAAATCACGAAAATATCTGTCTCAAAAAAGTGTCTTGATAATGTTAAATTGAGAAAAGTCTAAAGTTAACGATTTATGAATTATTGACAAAAAACAAAATTGGCTATTTTCAGTTTTTCTTGGATTTTTAGGAAACAGAAAACTTTGGAGCAAATTTAACAACAGGATATAAATGAGCAATAAATTCCCTAAAATTTTCCTAATTTGAGCCATCCTGTATCTCTCATAATAAGCGAAATCCCCACGTAGAGATTCGAATTTCGGACACACTGTATATATTTTTTTTTTTACACAAATAATAGCACCTAGCTGATTTAACTGCTGATAGAATCCAAACCCAAATGTTATGTACAATTAATATCTATGTGCATACAAGTTAGGACCTTATTGTAAAACCAATAGGTCTTTACAAGTTTATAGTAGTTTTATAAATTGTTTGTTGTTCTTATATATAAAGTTTTTACAGGCTATGCTAAATCTTTTCATGTTTTTCAGCCTTGTAACATTCTCAGGCAGCAGGTTGTAGAATTTTGGACCTAAATAACTGATAAATCTTTGGTTGATATTTTTATGACTACTTGGAATCTGCAGTTTGCCCAGTGTTCTACTCCTTGTCGCATGGCAATGGTCAACATATTTCTTCAGGTTCTCTCCTTTGTGGACATAAGAGCATACAGAAAACACATACAAGGATCTAACATTAAAAATATTTTCATTATACAGAAGACTAGTTGAATATCGTTTTTATTCATAACCTTAAGAATATAGTTTTGAGTAACATTGAGCTGGGACAGGGCAGAACTATAAACCCCTCCCCATATCACAATTCCATATCTGATTAATAACTCCACCAGTGCTTTATAGATCATAGTTAAAAGCTGTTTTGACATTATTTCACGCAAAATATAAAACTTGTAAATAAGTTTCCTAATATTGTTTTTCAATCTAAAAACATGGTGTTCCCATTTAAGCAGTGGCGGCTCGTCGTATAAAGCAACTGAGGCCGGGCCTCACATGTAAAAATTACAATAATGATGTAAAATTTTGAAATAATATTCATTAAATATTTAACGTTTTTCAACTATTTTCAATCATTGAAAGAATCAAAACATCGAATTTTCATTAAAATATAATACTATTTCTTGAATTTAGCGCGCGCTTCTACCTATTTATCCTTATAGGCGCTCAAATCGTTGCCGGACAGCATTAAAATAAAATAACAATCCAAAAAATTTTGGCCTCATGTGCATCACAGAACGCCGAAGCGATGCCACGGCACTCCCCACCACAACCCTTCAACTGTAGGTGAGACGATAGTGAATTTTCATAGGCATTGAGGCGCACAATTTTGGGCTTGTTAATAAGAAACCTTGCATCTCTTGCTGCTGCGACAAGTATTTAATTGGTTAATTTGGCTCATACTTTTTATTTTGGTCTGTTGCGGGTTAAAAAACTGAATTTATTTTTGTTAATTTGAAACTCAATACCTATTTGTATTAAAATAAGAAATATGTACCTACTGCTGTTGTTTTGCAACTGTAAGAAATGAAAATTTTCATTAAAAATATACAAAAAAAAATATCCGAGATGTTCTTTTAATGAAATTTTGGGTCAAAATTTGGGCGTAACACTTGAAAATTTTGTTTGGGTTAACTTGATGGGCCATGGGCCTCACCAGTTTGGATTGTCACGAGCCGCTACTGCATTTAAGGTGACAATCAATAATTATTCCCAAATATTTCGTACTAGAAACCTCTTTTATCGATGTATCCATTCCATTTATGTCGATGCTAGAGAAATTAGGACGATTAACATTAGTTGAAGAGAATGCTATATAATGTGTTTTATCTAAATTTAAAGAAAGTTTATGATAATCCAGCCAATTCCTGACATTAGAAAGGCCCTCAACCACCATATCTCTAACAGAGTCCCAGTCTCCGGCCGAGAAAACCAAGACAGTGTCGTCTGCATATGAAATGAACCCCCCAATATCAAGCATTATCATAGAGTTAATATAAGTAATAAACAGCAAGGGACCAAGTACGGTTCCTTGTGGGACACCAACCATGGTTTCAAGAGGATCACTGTGAGCATTTCTTATTTTTAAAATTTGTCTCCTGCCTTTCAAATAAGATACAAAGACTTCCAATGCCCT